GGGACACTTATCCAAATCATAGCAGATGGTAAGATAGGTGGGCTGGTCAAACCCAATACGAAATTGCACAATGCAAGCTTTGAAGGCCAGAATACTCGTCAACAGGCAATGGGAGAGTCACTTCTGGTCTTTGAGAAAGAAGTAGTCATGTCTGTACAGTGGAAATTAATCTGGTGACTACGGACAGAGCAACTAAAGGGGACAGAGACCAAGTGAAGGTGAGAGATCCAGTAAAACCTGTCATGGAACAATGAGATTATCAACAGGAAGAGTCAAAGGGATTTGGTGGCAGATTTTCACCCAAGAGATGAGGAAAGAAAAGTCAAAGATGAAAGAGATTCTAAGATAGAAGAGTGGACAAATGGTGGTGGCAGTAGATGACCCAGGGGAGTTGTGTTGAATGGCAAGGTTTGGAGGGAAGATGGGGAACCATGTTGAAACAGATGGGTTTGGGGTTCTAAATTGGGATGTATTAGAAGGCAGTTTCTCAAATGTATAATCCTAAATATTAATTCTCTGAGCTGTCCTGTGGGCAGGATTGGGGAAGTGGAAGGGCTCTGGTGCTTTGTCTAAACCAACATTTCCCGGAGGATTTGACAACAGGATTTCTGATGACCCTTCAACCAGTAGTTTGAGGTTCCATGGGCCATAGTTTGGGAATTTCTGTACAAGAGGCTTTTGGAGATAGATAAAGTTCTGAAGTTGGATATAAGAGTTGTGTCTGAAATGTTTTAGAGAGTCAGAAGGATAAAGGTAACTCATGAAATTGAGACCAGGTTTGTCACTAGGAAAGACAACAGAGATAAAGTGTTGAAGGTTCAAGGGCAGAGCCTCCTAAGAGACACCTGGGGCAGCAATGTGCTAGAAACAGAGCACTCAAAGAGGAAAGCCAAGGACCCAGGAATCCTCATCCTGGCAGGCAAGGGACAAGTTTGAGAAACAGCAGGTGGGTCCCTCCATCTGGATGTCTTGATTATTCTCTTGGACACTCCAAGCCTGTGCCATCCTTCAAGGCCAGGCAAGTCCAGCCTCCTCCAGGAAGCCTTTTCTAAGTCTGTGCCACAGTGTTCTTGTTCCGCTGCACTCCTGAGCACTTTACTGCCAGTTTCCTTAATATCTGCTTGCTGCTCTGACTCCAAGCACGCCATTTGGTTCCTTAGTGAGGCTGAGTTTCTTGTAGCCTGTGACTAGCACGATATATGCTCAAGATGTGTTTGCTGACTGAATTAGTGAGTGAAGAGATGAAGGCAGGGAAGAAGTTCAGATCTGGTGAGAACTGAAGAGGGAGCAGGTGGACAAGACTCCTTCTGGCTGACCCTGGGACACCCTGTGTGGATTTGACAGCTCTCACAGGGAGCAGGTGCAGGGCCTTTCTAAGGGCAGTGAACAGATGGAACCTGGTGAGCCAGGAGGAGCTTGAGGTTCCAGGTGACTATTCTAGAGATAGGCAGTAAATATTTATGGGACAACTTCTCAATGACCTGACTGGGGATACAGTGGTGACAAGAGAGGCTCCTAGTCCTCAAGGTTTATGTTTCTCTTCACCGGCTCCAGGCATCTGGGTGGCTGCAGCTCAGCCACATGACCTTGGGCAAATGGCCTCCCCCTTCGTTGGGCCCCCGTGTTTTCCTCAGCACTTCCAGCCTGAGCCACAGGAAGGCTTTTCCTCCTTCCAAAATCTCCACCCCGCCGCCCACATGTTCACACTGGGCCCTGCTCCACCCAGGAAGAGGGGATGGGTTCATGGGAGGAGTATGATCCTGATGGAATGAGTGATGCTGAATCAGGGAGTGAGCTGGCAGCAGCAGACTCCCAGGGGCTGCAACGTGGGCCCAGATGGATCCTGTACCTTGGCCGAAAGAGAAGAGGGAGAGTAACCAGGGACAGCACTCCAGGCTGGCCCTGGGCACACAGCTGGCTCCTCCTGACCAAGGCCAGCCATGGTCTCTGATGCCACCCTGTGGTGGTGCTGGGAACCACCTTCCTGAGCCTTGGCCTGGGACCTCTTGGCCTCCTCTGCCTGGCCTGGTCTGGCCTGGCTTCACCCATCCATCCTCCTAGGCCCTGTAAGGAAAGAGAAAGGGCAGTGTGGCCCAGAGCAGAACAATACTGCAGCCTGTCTCTGCTGGCACAAAAGCCTGGCCTTCTCTTCCCAACCACACTCTCCAATTCTGTTTCTGCTCAGTCCTCAGCATACACATATCTGTACACATACTCTTCATGCCAGCACAGGCATGTGGTTCCAGGCACGTGCTCACTCTTGTGTAGTTTTCATCTTTGCTGCATACACACACGTGTCACAACTCCCCCTTTCTGCCCAGCCCTACTCTGTGCCTGCCACCTGCTATGCTGGGTGTCTCATGCCTATAACCCAGGCTGGCAATACCACAATGCCTCCACCTTGCCCTGCAGGGCAAAGACCACAGCCAAGAGCCACAACTCTAGTTTCTGGCACCTTGGCAGCTGATTGGCCAAGATTTAGCATCTGCTGGGCCAAACTTTGGAACTCATTTTCCCTGTGCCCTGGGGGCAAGATGAAATTAGTCATGGATCACCTAGTCTGCCCTTTGGCTCTGGATCTTGGTAGCTAAGACCATAGCATTGGGGCAGTGGCCTCTAGGTGTCAGGCAAAGTGGCTTTGGTGACATTTGCAGAGGCTTTTCATGCAAGAGAAGCAACACTGCATCATGGCCAAGCAGACCTTGGGCAAGCCATCTAACCCGGTCCCTATGCCTTATCCCCTGGTATGTCCAATGGAAATGAATAGCATATGTACCTGGGAGGGTTGTGACAATGAGTGAGCCTAATGGGTACTTGTGGAGGGAGGTGTGGCTAGTTGTCTCTGCCAGTGAATGGGGCAGAGCTGGACAGCCACCACCTCCAAGGACTGTCAGGATGGCAGGACCTGGTGCTGTGGATACTGTTTTCTGCCTTTCTCCTCTTGCCTGTCTCGTTCTGTCTCCCCACGCTGCCACAGGGTTGGGCTTCAGGAGGGTGAAATACTGAAGGGTCTCTGGAGCAGGAGTTGCTCAAGCCTAGGGTGTGAATATCCCGTCCCAGGCTTTGGGCCCACTTCCTGGCCTTTCCCTCCCCTGCCTCCCTACTCCCCATCCTGCTGACTCCCGAAGAGCAGACGCTGACACTGTCCCCTCCATCTCTTTTCCTCACCCAGAATTCCCCTACACCCCGTCTCCTTCCGAGCATGGGCGGCGCGCCGGGCCGGTGCCCACGGCCATCATTGGGGGCGTGGCGGGGAGCGTCCTGCTGGTGCTGATTGTGGTCGGCGGGATCGTGGTAGCCCTGCGCCGGCGCCGGCACACCTTCAAGGGTGACTACAGCACCAAGAAGCACGTGTATGGCAATGGCTACAGCAAGGCGGGCATCCCCCAGCACCACCCGCCCATGGCACAGAACCTGCAATACCCGGATGACTCGGACGATGAGAAGAAGGCCGGCCCGCTGGGCGGGAGCAGCTACGAGGAGGAAGAAGAGGAGGAGGGTGGTGGTGGAGGGGGCGAGCGCAAGATGGGCGGCCCCCACCCCAAGTATGATGAGGACGCCAAGCGGCCCTACTTCACCGTGGATGAGGCCGAGGCCCGGCAGGACGGCTATGGGGACCGGACTCTGGGCTACCAGTATGACCCTGAGCAGCTGGACTTGGCTGAGAACATGGTTTCTCAGAACGACGGGTCTTTCATTTCCAAGAAGGAGTGGTACGTGTAGCCCCCTTCCGGAGCCTCTGTCTGTGCCCACTTCTTCCCCGCACCCACCCGCACGTCCCTTGCCCGCCCCTACTGCCCACCCCCTGTGAGCGCGACAGAGACTTGCCCAGCTGCCCAAAGCCAACCCAAATTCCTGGGGAGCCAGGGGAGCCCAGGGCAGAACCGACTTGGCTTTGCTTTGATTTCTTCCCTTTCCCAGCCCTTCCCCATGGTGTTGTGTTCGACTGTGGCTTTGGTGTTGCTGTATCTTTTCCTTTAACCACCCGCCTGCTGCCTTCGGTGTAGGGAGCCCTGTTCTTGTCTTGTGTACCTGGGCATCCCTCCAGGGTTTGGGGAGCCAGCCCTCCCCAGCCCCCCAACACTGGAATTTATTTGTGTTCTCTTCATTGGGTTGGAGGACTAAAGGGACTCCAAGAGGATCCCCCACTTCCCAGATGCTGCTCCTCTTCCCAGAGAGAAAGAATTCCACACCCCACCATAAGGTGACACATCCAGGGGTCTGGAGCTCTGGTCTGGATATCCAGTGCACCATCCTCCAGGGTTTGGGGAGCCAGCCCTCCCCAGCCCCCCAACACTGGAATTTATTTGTGTTCTCTTCATTGGGTTGGAGGACTAAAGGGACTCCAAGAGGATCCCCCACTTCCCAGATGCTGCTCCTCTTCCCAGAGAGAAAGAATTCCACACCCCACCATAAGGTGACACATCCAGGGGTCTGGAGCTCTGGTCTGGATATCCAGTGCACCCAAGAAGTTGGGGGGGCAGCGGGGAGGAGACTTCTCCCAAGCGCCCCGGGGAGTCTTGTTTGTTAAGTGAATCTAGTTGAGGACCCTACCCGGGACCTTGGGCAGTGTGTTTTCCTGGTGAGGGTGGTCTTTTTTTTTTTTTTTTCTCATTGGCCTACAGAGCCAAGTTGACCCAGTTCTGGTGTGTCCCTCCCTTTTACCCCCAATCTGGTCACATAGTGGGGGACTCCAGGTGGATTCTGCCCAGACTTCCCGTATGCCTCTGTTAACACACGCATACATGCACACACCACTCGGTCTACCCTAAATTCCCCTCAGGGCTCACATGCCCTGCCCAGGCTGGACACTGCCCAAGGCCCACCCCTCTCTGCTCCATCTCGTCACCTTCCCTGCTGAGGATGGGAGCAGCCTATAGAAGTTTCCAGAGGCAGCTAGGCTGAGCCTCCCAGCTGCTGCCACTCTAGAATTTCAGGATGGTCCCAACCTCTCCTTACAGTTTGGAAGTTTCTCAGATTTCTCCCTTATCTACAAAGGGCCTGCAACACTTGATTCTCTTGGAAAGTCAGGACTGGGGTCCCAGAAGGGAACTACTTCTGAGAATTGGAGGAGAAAAAGTATTCATGTGGAGAAGGAAGCCCTGTGAGAGAAGCTCTGCAAACACAGTCTGGTAGACTGAGAACAGTTCACACCTCACAACTGCAGGCCAGTGTAGATGTCACAGGCCTTACAAACAGCACAGGGCAGGAGACAAGGCAGGGGGTAACCAGGGAACCTGCTGCTCATCCACTCTCTGTTCCTTGCTCAGCTTCCCCTGGTGCCCATTCTGGGGGCAGGGAGGGGGGGTGCCCATGGAGAGGCCCTCCTCTGAGTGCAGATTCCCTCCTCAAATGGAACTGTGGGTTCCTCTCAGCCATCCAGGCCTGGACCTTCCCATGGAGGAAGGCCCCTCCCAACTCTCTCTGTCCCCCAGCTCAAAGTGCCTCGGTTCCTCCATCTGCCCCCCAGGTCCCCTGCACTCTGGATGGGTATGCCCACGCCCTGAGATGGAGAGGCGAGCTCTGAGGGTTCTCAGCTAATAGCCCAGGCTGTCATGCTCTGTGGGATGGCAAGTGTTGAGGGGAGGAAGACAGACCACTCTGTGCCCCACGGGCACTGACTGACCCTGCCATAGGCTTCCTAAGGGAGCCCCAGCCCCCACCCTACTCCCCTCCCTGGTGCTGCTATTGAACCCCCAGCCGGAAACTCCATCTCTGCCCTAGCAACCCTGGGCAGCCCTCACTGCCCTAGCCCCAGCCCAAGCCGCCCAGTAGCCACGTAGCAGAAGTCTGAAGCCATGCCAGCCCTGGGGCGGCTCTCCCCTCTTAGCACTGGGGGCACTGGATTGGGGTGGAATTGGAGGAGAAAATTCTAGAGTCTTTAACCACAGGGAAGAGAGAGGCGAAGAAGCTGGGCTGCTTCTCCCAGCAGTATTAGTGTCCCCAGAGCAGGGGACCTTTCCCATGTCACAGCACTGCCCCCTTCCTCCTCATGCTACTCTGGCCCCTATGCTTGGTCCCCTTTCCCCCAAGCAGGAGGCAAACCCAGGGACCTGCCTGATAGAGGTCCCTGACCCATGGACTTGTCCTCCTGCGTCTCCCCTACCCTTCACTGTTACCTGCGTTCCAATGGACTGAGGAGGCTCTGGGCCCGGCCAAAGCACTGAGTTCCCCCTAAGACACCTCCACACCTTTCCCCCAAGCAAAGCACAAATTATGGGGTCCTTGCAGCATGCCCACTGGGCAGCTACTACTCTGGGATAAGAGTGGGCATGAGGAAGGGGTCAGCACTTGGGTCTAGGGAGATGGGATTTTCTGTGCCCTGTGTTCCAGGGACAGTGCATTGCAGCTGGCCCACAGACAGCCAGCTGGCAGAGAAAGGTCCAGCCCAGCAGAGATGAGGACATTTTACTTCTCCTTCATGCCCCAGCATGAGCTGAGCTTCTGCCTTGCTGGAAATAAAATAAACTTGGTGTTCACTGTGCCAAGGCCTTCCAGGTTGTCATCCCGCCTCTCATTGCCCTCCTTGTCCTTGCTCCTCCCCCACTACCCCTGTACCCATTTCCCTACAGATTTTGGTATTGTTCTAATGTGCAAAAACCCTCTGAGTCCCCTTTTGCCAGAAGGATCTGAAAAGCAGCAGCACAGAGTCAGTGAACACAAGCCCAGCACACACACACACATAGTGGGCACACACCTCACGCAGACTCAAGCACAGGTGTGCGTATGTGCACACATGCATGCACACACACACATGGCCAGGTGGACGCTCCGCACAGATGTGGCAGAAGAATGGTCATATCTTGCTGGGAGCCCTTAAGGGGAAGCAATGATTTCCTTGTGCTCAGGCCCAAGAAGAATGGACAGGGGCCCTGGCCCCGGGCATGCGCCCTCTCTGCCAGCTGCCCCCCATGGCCCCAGACACTGGTGCAATAACTTTTCTGCCATCCTCAAGGCAGAAGAATGGGGACTCATACGAGGTGAATGTGGGTAAGAGCCCCAGAAGGCATTGGTGTTTCCTCTTCTGGGGGAGGGGGAGCTCCCAGGCCTCAGGGTCAAGTTGGAGACCCCCCAAGCCTCCTAGTGAGGGCAGGTGACTAAAACTGCCCTGGGCCAGATGTGCCCAGGAGGCGAGGGCTCCAGGCCTCCCTGCTGCTGCTGCTGCTGCTGCTGTGCTGCTGCTGCTGCTCTTCTGACCCCTGCTGTGAGGACTGGGCTTGTTGGCCGGGAAGATTGGTTTTCCTTTTTTGTACAAATGGAAACAAAATCCAGGAGAAGCTGCCACCCTCACCTCCGAGTGTGATTCGCTTCCTTTGCTTCAGTTTCTTCGTCACAGTTTTCGTCTTTGGTCCTGGGGACAGCCCAGCAGATTCTCCTGGTTCTGACAACAGGGGGTGTTTGCCTCACCCCCTTTTACTTGTATAAAAAAAAAATGATGGGTTGAAAATGTACTGAGGAAAAAAATGTACTTTTTATAAATAAAGTGTTTAAAACAAACCCATTTGTCTCGTGTCACTGTGTTGGGGGTGAGGATGGGGAAAAACTGGAGGGGAGGCACAGGAAAAGAAGGAGAGAAGGAAGGAAGACCCCATGGCTTCCCAGAGCTCATGGTCCTGTGACTGGTACCCCAGCAGCCATCTTGCAGGAGTCCGGTAATTTGAATACCCACAGACTGCCATGGAGCAACGTCCCACACAAGTGGCAAGGTGGTGGGCTTTGGTGGCAGCATGGCACAGAAAGGGGGTTGCTGTCTGCAGTCACAGGAGGGGCCCTTCAAGAAACAAGCCTGGAGCTGGAGGCATGGCTCAGGTGATAGAATACCTGCCTAGCAGGTATTCAAACCCGAGTACTGAGGGGTACAGCCAGAGGGAGGCCCCCAAGGACTGGAACCACAAGCTTCAGAGGAGCTCTGCTTGCTGCCCCTCCCCAGGTCCCCTTAGGCGACTCCCTGCTTCCCTGCTTGCCCCTGCCAGGTCCCCTCCTGTGGTTCTTTTGAGAAGAAATCTGCAATAGACAAATGCGAACAGAAAAGAGGGGGAACTTTATCCTTTCATCTCTTCTGAGTACCCCGCCCAACCCTATCTCTTGCCAGCTCTCCTTGAATCCCAGCCACTACCATGCCATTCCTCCCCCAGGGAGCTGGTTAGGGGAAGGTCCCCTTGTTTCTTGCTTCCCTCCCCTCCCCATGTCAGCACCATCTGCTTCCCATCTCCTGGGCTGGAATGCAGGACAAATCGATCCTGAGAGTGGGTGGCGCAGGGGCTTCAGGGAACTGCCCCCTCCCAGCCACCCCCAGTAGCATCTCTTTTCACTGAAATCCACACCACAGACCCCTGAGAGAGGGGGAAGGGACCATAGAAGCCAAGGTGGCTGCTTAACAGAAAGCTCTTCTGCCCATCTGGGGGCAAGGCAACATCTTCCACACCTAGGATTGAGTCAGGATGGCAGGCAGAATCCAGAGTGGAGAAGCCAACAGCTGTTGGCAGCTGGCTACGCCCCTCACTGGAAGACCAAACCCAGCACTGTGGTCAGGCTGTGTTTAGATGTTGATATTCCAATGAGATGCAAATTGGTTGTATAAGCAGTCGCTTCCTTGGTTTTTCAGGCTGTCCGTTTAAGTTCATTTTTAATTTGCGCAAGCAATAAATGCTTAATTACATTATTAATATATTGGAAGAGAGCAGTGGACAGAACGTCCTAATTGGCATTTAACTAGAGCGTTCCGGCAAATTAGCCAAGACTTTTCTCGGCTGCA